AGTGCCCCGCCGCCCACCCGCTGAGTCTCACAGCCAGGGCCGCTCCGGGCCGCTGGCATGCGCTCCTGCAAGACCCTCTGCGCAGCGCCGGGAGGCCACGGAGAAGCTTTGCTCCGCTTCTCACTCAGCTTTCCCCCAGAGGTGATCCGAGACTTCCAGCGGCGGAGCTTGGAGAAGCAGCGGCCGCAGGCCGGGTGGGCGGGGGCGGCGGGGCACTTTGCATCATGGGAGCCGCCAAGCGCCTTTGCTGCAGACCCGGGCGCTTGGCGGCTCCCACGATGCAAATTCCCCCCCCCCACCGCCGAGGCCAAACGCTGTCCTGCTTCGCAAAAGGATGCCCAGCTGAGCCTCACCAGGCATAAACCGCACCGCATGTCACTGGTCAAAATTGAACAGACCTCTCAACAGAGGGGGAAGGATATGACGTCATCTATCTCTAGTCTACAGCACAGTCCTTTCCCTAGTTCCAAGAGGCTCCACATCCATTTGCAGTACTTTGATGACCGTGATGACACAGATAAACCTCCAGGTAGCCTCAACAACTCTCTAAAAGACTACAGTGGACCAGCTGTCTGCAAAAAGTATAAATCCTTCTATTACCCACCATCCAGCCAGAGCTGAAGAAGCTTTTTGGATGAGAAATGAAAATTATTAAAAAAAAAAAAAAGTCCAGTTGCCTCTTGAAATAGCACCTTTGGGACTTTCTCTGTGTAGTTTTAATTAAATAATTAAATATGTCTGAAATGTTTTGGAACAGATATTGCCCCAAATATGTCAATTTGAGTTGTACTGCTAACAGGAAAAGAAGTAATATTTGATATGTTACTGGAGTGCATTTAGCAGTTTTCTATATAATTTATACTTTCCTATTAATCTTTGTACCTTTTAGATTAATTTAGTTACCATCTTTATGCAGGTTCATTGAAGTCATAAAATGTTTTTGTACTGGTTGTATTTTTTATACCTCCTGTAAAAAGAAAGAAATAGTTTATATATATATTTTGTTGATCACACAGCCAGATATTTAGATTGGATTTGGCATTTTTATCACAGAATGTGAGCTTTTGCAATTGACTAATGACTTGGTTATTGTTGATGGTGTTTGAGTGGTACTCCATATGTTTTGGAATTGCACCCAAGACATCCATTTCTATTAGTACTAACTTATTTTCTTTTTCCACAGTCATTCTACTTCTATTTGCAAGTCTTTGTATTTTGTGATATAATGATGTTTCGTTGCACGGGTTCAAGGGGTCAGGCTGCCCTCAGCGAAACATCGCCTCGCTTAGCATCCTGGCAAAGGAGTCGCCAAAAACTGTTGTAGAAAAAAACAGGACACGCAAGCCAGCTCTTCAGGGAAGGAATAGTTTATTGNTAGGGACCCATTGATCTGTTTGAACCGGATTGGGTGGGACAGACTTTTTGGTCTGATCCCCAGTTTCAGGACTGTGGTTAGGTTGATCAAGGACCTTGTGCAGCCTGAGTCTATTAGGGCTTGAAAATTCCCCTGGCTTCCTGTTTTTGGGGCTGTGAGGCACATTGAAAAAGGAAAAGTGAATTGGTCCTCTCACCATTCTGTCGTTTTCGCCCTTGTCATCACTGTCATCACCTTCTGGTGACTGGTTGTTGTTGCCTGAGGTTGCCCCTTTGTCTGGGTGGGGAGGAATCTCTGCAGCCTGGAGGGCCTTCCGGGATGCATTGGTGGTCTGTTTATGGCCCCGTTCCAGTCGTGTCCTGGGTGGTGGCTGTGGCCTTAGTATCGGGGTTGGGGCTGTGCATTCAGATGCCATGTGGCCCACCCCTCTGCATCTATAGCATTTCAGTGGACTTCGAGGGGGGGATTGGTTTTGGGGCCCACTATGTTGCTGTGGGTCCCCGTCAGCCCAGCTTTTTCAGGTTGAGTTGACCTCTCTTTCGTGTTCGGTGCTTTCTCATGTTGTTAGCGCACAATCCGCTATCAACTTTTATTGCTACTTGAAACCATTCAGAGAGTCGGTTTGGGATGTTGTGTTAGGCAGTTATTTGGACAATCCGCTGGTCCAGACTTGTTTTGAAAGATATACTAACAGTCACTCTGGTAAAGGGGGTAACCTTCAAATGACTCTCCTGAATTTGCGGATGTGCTCTTTGATGGGGTGGCCCTTCTGCTTTAGGTTGCTGAGCTCATCTTCCTCATGTAAGTCCTCCTCCATCTCCTCAAATCTGACCTCTATCAGTCAAAGGAAGTCATCTACGCCTTGCAGTTGGGAGGCTCTACTCTTGTGGAGGGCTGCTAGCCATTCTCTTGTTTTGTCCCTCTAGTTCTTCTGCAATAGTATTCATTATGGCTCTGGGGGATGAGTAGAGATGTCCATAGCATTCCAGGTGGATCTCAGCTAAGTCAAGAAATAGGGTTAACTGGTCTGAGTCCCCATCAAACTTTCCTCTGAACCGGGGTGGTTCAATCAGCACTGCCCTTCCTTCCTACTGTCAGCCTCTGTATGCTTACATATGATATGTCTGAAGACACCCCTCAGTTCTAGTTGGGAGGGTGGGGGGAGATTGCCCTGGGCAGCCTGCCTGCTACATGGAAGAGACACTGGTTTCATTTTCCTTCTAATGGGTGGAGAAGGGGGGCTGCATTCCAATGTGCTCCTCTTCACCTCAAGAGGATCCACTGCTCCTCCTCTCTCTTTTGGCCTGCATAATGGCCTTTCTTCACAGAGAGTGGCCCAGTCAAATTCCTCTCTCCATTGCTCTATGGAACTTCCCAAGGGCTCCATCGGGGGCTTTGGGGCCCTGGATTGATTCCAGTCCAGCACCTCCTCCACTCTTCCTAGCTCGCTCAGGGCCTTTCCCTTTTTCTGGGCATAGGGATGGGGTGGGGGCTCAGCTTTAGCTGTTTTAGAGGTTGAATACTCATCTCCTCTTGCTTCGCCCATCTTGGCTTTGATGTCTGAAGTCAGACTACACTCAGATTGTAATCAGGCTCTCTTTGGATAGTTGGCCTTTTGCCATGGTCTTCTGAGTTCCCTCCAGGCACCACCGATATTTAAAAGCAAGATTTGACTGTCTGTCAAGTTTCCTGACGATGCCGTAATTGATTCATAATAATCGAGCCAATGTTTTAATGCAAAA